ACTGTTTTAATTATTGGTGCTTAATAGAAAGTTTTGGTGTCTATTAGAGCAAGGTCCTCTTTTTTTCAATCAACATTTTCTTAACTTCTTTCATGAATTTTATCTCAAGATGAACTTTAGTTATGGGAATTTGTATTCCAGACTCAAGTGACATCAAATGTTGCTTCTAGAAAAGTGGTGCCTATCTTATGGGCCAATTTGTGTCTCCCTGGTCAGAGTCTATTGGATATATCTAGGTTGGTGGGCCTAGAGGTTGGACTCCTCTATCTCTTCCCAATCCATGTATTTACTAAATGTGTTTTTTTTTTTGGAAGCCATAGGACATCCTTTTTTTAGATTATAAAGACCAAAGAGAAGTTAAACAAGGCTTTTATATTATCTGTTACTATGTAACAAATTACTCCAAAATTGAGCAGCTTAAATCAAAAATTTATTATCTCATACAGCTTCTGAAGGTCAGGAGTCTAGGGGTGACTTAGCTGGGTTCTGGCTTAGAGTTCCTCATGAGGTTACAGTTAGAATGTTGGCCAGAGCTGTGGTCATCGGAAAGCTTGTCTGTGCTAAAGGATCCACTTCCAAGCTCACTCCCACTGCCGGCCAGCTGGCCAGGCCGTTGTCAGGAGGCGGCAGTTCCTCGCCATGTGAGCCTCTTCGCAGGGCTGCTCCTGATATGCCGGCTGGCTTCCTGCAGGCCAGGTGATCTGAGAGACAGACCAAGATGGTAGCTGCGGTATCTTTTATAGCCTAACCTCGGAAGTGACATAGCATCACTTCTAACATATTCTTTGGCTTACACGGAACAACTGTGTAAACAAAAATTCACAGAAGTGGAGTAGCTGGATCAAAAGTTAAGTGCGGTTGTAGTGTTTTGACAGTTATTTGCCAAATTGTCTTCCATAGGGATACACGTGCAGAGTTGCATCAGTTTACACTCTGAGCAGCAGTGTATGAGAGTGCCTGTGTGTGCGTGCTGTTCCACGCACTGAATGTCAGACCTTTGAGTCAAAAAATATATCTCGGTGCGGTTTTAATTTGTATTTCTCTTCTGAGTGAGAGTGAATGTCTTTTCATATATTTAAGAGCCATTTGTATTTCCATTTCTGTGAACAGTCTGTTCATATCCTTTGTCCATTTTTTTCTTACTCTTTTGTAGGAACTCGTTTTGGGGAATTTAGGGAAATGATTAATATGTTTTAAATATTTTTTAATATATAGGGATTTTATATTTTTATTATTTTGAAACAGTGTTAAGCTTATTTTTAAGAAGTAGCAAGAGCAATATACAAACTTTTTTTCTTACAGCAGTTAAAATGTGATATTGCACTATCCCTGAATACTTCGGTGTGTATTCCCTTCAAATACAGACGTCTCACAGGCATTCTACATAATCACAATACAACCATCAAAATCAGGAAGTTCACACTGGTGGCTTCAGGATCATGTCCAGCAATCTCTCTACTCCTTTGGCCCTAGAGAAGAGCATAGACTCTGGAGCTAGACTGCCTGACTTCACATCCCAGCTCTGCCTCTTACTAGTCACTCAATCTCTATGTGTTTCAGTTTCTTATCTCTTCCAAATGATGTAATTATCATGCCTACTCTGTTGGTTATTGTGAGTATTAGATGAACTAATGCTTAAATTAGTGGTTTACATACTATGAAAGGTATGTCAATGAAGCTATAATAATATTAGAGGACGGATAGTTGGTAATAAATTTTAGAGTATTTTTAATAGGCATGGGTAAGATTGTCAGAAATCATAGACTACAATGTAAGCTACAAAATGTTCAAATAACCCCGACTATCTTTTTTCTTCCCTTGTTAGATTTCAGAATGACTTCCTTCTTGACATACACTTTTAAAAATCTTCCCAGTACATCAAAATGGGCCCTCATATCTTGTAAGTGTCATTTGTTCTTTTTTTTTTTAAAGGTTAGATTTGGGTGTGTAAACATCTTTTCAGGGACATGAAATTGTATTGCTTTTTGTAAAAACTTTATTTTGTCTTCCAGCTATAAGACCTCTGAGCTGTTCCTCCCAACTTCGAGCTGCTGCAGGTACAATCATTTGTAAAAGAAACATTTTTGATTTGTTAGATTCTAGAATCTAGGTTTGTGAATTTTGAGAAAAAGCCAAAACTAATTTGCCAGCTCTCCCCTTTTTATGAGCAATATGAACATCACTGTTACCTTCAAATTAAAACAACATTGGATTGACCAGTCGATGATAGTACTTGGTGTAGGGTTGTACCCGAGGATGCTGGCAAGAGGCTACTTTCTAGGATGTGGATCCTGATGGAGTCACAGAGGTTCCGTGAATCTTGCAGGTCAGTTTACTCAGCTTCTGGCTGTTGGTCCTGGAGATGATCAGCTTACAAACACCCAGGAAACTATTATGGAGCCAAAAGTTAACTTTTTAAACTTTCAGTGACAGAATTCTCTATTAATATCTTCTTATCCCACGTGCAAGGGGACCCATACCTGAAATAGGGGTAACTGTGGAACTGGTTAATAAAAGAATATTGTTTAGTCAATATGAAATGAAAAAGTAAGGAAAGTTGTTGATTTTTATATGGTCTTTCAGACCCTTGGCAAATCTTCAGTGTTGAATACACACTTTTGCAGAATCTGCTGTAGGTCTGTATCTTCACCAGCCAGTGCTAAAAGCACCCTGATGAGTTCATACCTTCTCCTTGCTTGGGTCCTGTATTAACCTATGACTTAAGTTTTTGGTTTTATTATGGTATTTCTAGTTGGATAATAACTTAATAGAAAAAGCATCTTACCAGGATTCAGAAGACCTCTGCTCTGTTCCAGTTCTACCTCTTTTGGAGCAGTATGGCCTTGAACTGATCACTTTACTTCCCTGTGCTTTAGTTTCTTTGTCTAAAAAAGAGTAATCATTTTAGTCTTGTTAACCTCAAGTAGTTGTGAAGATATCTCAAAGCACTTTGAAAACTGTAAACTCAATAACGATTATGTTTTTATATTGTTTTTCATATAGTGTTTTTTTCAGGGGTCTGTTGCCTAATCCCACCTAGAGAAATTTCGTGTTGTTGTATAATAAATATATTTTCTGTGGCCTCTGAATTCTAACTAGAATATAGATTTGTACTAGCCTCACAAAGAATAATTCTTTTCTATCTC